ATAACACAAACGAACAATTCTGGCTTTAGAATTTTTTTATTTATTCAATTTAAACTAGAAATTCAGAAGAACCTATACATATATGTAAATATATATATAAACGTGTTTTACCTACATATATTTGATGAGATTTCATGTCTGTCTATTAACGGTATCAATCTAGCTAAAATAATCGACTATTTCATCTGCTGTACACTTTAAATGGATATGAAAATTTGCCGGAGTGTGTCTATATGTATATATACACAACTATATAGTTTGTATGCAAATTCCCCTTAATATATATATATATATATATATATATATATATATATATGCATAATTATTCATGCATGTTTTTTGGTTGACTGAACAACAGTGGTAATAGAAACTACACTGAGAACATGCAAGCTGTAGAAAGAAAACTAAATTATTTATATACAAAATTATCTAACTAAAATGATATTTCGTCTTCAGTTTAATTTAAAAGGGTTCAGAAAATGATCAATTATCAAAACAGCCAATAAATAAGGTACTGTCTGATTTACCGTAACATCAAGTACAACTAGGTTGTTTTTGTGCTGTATCAGGGACAGATTCATTTTAGTCCATTTTTTGTTTATAAATATCGTACAAACAAAAAGCAATATAAAGATAACTTCTTACATCTAAAGTATCTTATTCTAACACGACCTATTTTTATCGAGGTTCCTTAGATTTATGAACGAAGAGGGTGACCAAAAGAAATATCAAGTGACTGAAGGATTGGGGCTTCCAGTAAGTTTTCATAAAAAATATTAATAGGAAAACTAAAAATAAGCTATAAAAAAAAATAAAGGTACGACGCGAGATTTCAATCTTTCAGGTTCAAGCCATTTGGATGCGTCGCAAATGAGATAAAGTACGTCACAAGCTACAACGACGTGATTCTGTGATACTCTTTGACGAAAATCGACCTTGTAAAATAGGGTCGATTGGGGACTGTCACTGATGCTATAGTTAGCAATGGTGGATATGTAAAAGAAGCTGCACCCAAAGCCTTGTTCAGTAGTTTATGAAGTGATAGAACACCATGCTCTTTAGAGGTAGTCAACGAAAGATATGTTGTGAGGAGACACCCATCATGTCAATATCCATAGTTGATGTAGAAGTTAGTATAACTACTTCCAGTGGTTAGTAACTGATGAATGCCGTCTGATTAATGTAGAAACAATGTATCATAGCGGCTTGACATGTTGCAGTAAATGGTTAAAAATAGAAGGCAGAAACGGTCGTTTTTGAAAATCGTATGATCCATAACCTAACTGGACGAAATCTACATTGATTGCGTTCCTAATCAAATTACATGTTTACATATTTTCTGCGGATATTTTCACTTTACTACTTTTCTCTTTCTAATACTTTACAACAGTTTACAGATTCACATTATGTAATGGCCTATCATATCACACATCTTTTATGTTATAAACGTCATACCTCATATAAAATAAATTAGGTAGCTTGAAGGATACCGCGATTTCTTTTTTCATTTGTGTACAAGAATACTATGGTAGGTAGTTAAAAAAATAATAATTTAGTCTTCAACTCCATTGAATGCACTCATTAAAATGTACAAACCAATTTCATCGAGTTCACCAACTGAGTAAAACAAATATACGAATAACAGTAAAACAATTTTAAAATTTAAAATTCTTTGTTGTCACATATTGTTTAAAAATTTATCTAAACCCTTCCAGTTATTATGATTAAAATAACTAAAAGAATTTTTAGAAAAGAAATATCAGCCTTTACTTTGGGATTAACGGTACTTTTTTGTATCACAAGAATATGGATATTCTATGAAGTCTTTGGGAAAAAAACAACACATCATGACCAGAGAGTCACTGTGGACCTTTTGGCAAACATTCCGTATAGTGACACGTTACACCCACAATCAAAATGATAGGGAAACAATAAAAGCGATAAGACTTTATGTTTATGTGACCAATATCACTAGTCTAAGTAACTTGGCATAGTGTTCACTATATGGAAATATTAAGTGGTTGGACGTAGTAGACAAAAAAATCTCGAACGAAATCCTGCTCCATACTCTTAGTACTTGTCTGATATGCCTTGCTGACAAGTGCCACCATCTAACAAACTTATTTGCTGTTTATATATTAAAATAAAACCATGATTTTGTTTAACTCACTTTACACAATCGTTTCATTTCAATTCGATTGGTCACTTGAATTATTAACACTTTTGTACTAACATTCTTTTTGCTATATATATTTGATAGAGTATATTGGATATTAATAAGTTTTTACTGAACATGAATAATGTATGATGCAGTAATAATTTCTAGTGGCTTTCATATGACTAGAAGTCTTAAGAAGCTATCGAAATTAGGCAAATCTTCATAGAACTGGTTTCTATAATCATATAAGCTTGAGTGTTATCACTGAACTGTAAACTTACTAGTGTCTATTGGCAATGTTTTGAATGCTACCAATGTCGTACATGACATGAGACACTTTAAAAAATAACGGTGGCCGTTAAGATAGTATGGAAAAGCTATTAAAATATATCAGTAACATTGATCTCTAAAATTTCAACTTGTAAATGTTAAACTTGAAAGAAAATTATTAAAATAACAGTCAAAATTATACAAATCATCTGTGAACAAAACAACTAGTTAGCTAGAAACAATATAATAAATTCTGTTTTTTTCTACCAATTAGTTAGTAGTTCATAAGTAAACATATATAAATTAACTATATCTTCCATAAGTCAAAATAATCTGAAGTCATATATTTATAGAAGTAGCCAAGAGAAAATAATCATGACCATACACTAAACAGTTCAATTTAACGTCGCAATATAATGGTTTTATTAGCGTATAATTAATAATAAACAGACACAAACGTTGTTGTGAACATGAGTGAAAGAACCATTAGCTAACAAGAAAACTTCAAATAAACACATTCACTGACTGTACATTCACTATTATATGTGGAGCAGAAACTCTAGTCGATTACATAAAACCAAGTCGAATGAAGTTATAACTATATAAAACTTCCAGATGTAGATTATTCATTTTACTGTTGTTTCAGAAATCTTAAGTCTGATTGTAAATATTAACCTGGTCAATTCGATTCACTAGTTACAATATAAGCATATTATTGACAGAAAAACGAACGATGCTTATGTAACATGTTATCTGTGTAATAGTAGGACTTAACTGAAGCGCTAGAAAAAAATTTTGATTGCTATTAAGGTGATTGTGATAAAGATAACTGACAAATCAAGCATTCGTTTTGAATGTATGAGTTTTTTTAAAAAAAGTTATGTGGTATGAAGTATGATGATCAACTGATTCATTCTGAGTTTTGATCGATAACAAAGGTATGTGTTCATATGCTATATATATATATATCTGTGTACTACCAGTCAAGTGATATGAAAACATGTTTGATAAATAAATTTGAAAACGAAAAATAGTTAACCAAGCAAATGTCGAAAATTGTCTTGACTATCAAAGAAAATTGAATGGTTAGGTGTGCAGATACAAGCAGCTTAGTTCTAATTACGAAGACAAACATAAAGGATTTGTGCTTACAAATATCTCATTCTCTCTCTCTCTCTCTGTATATATATATGAGGAATTTTCACATAATTATGTTGTAAATGTTGGTTAGATGTGGTCGACAAGAAACGCTGGATCTATGTCTCATGCTAGTTAGCACTCGTCAGCAAGGTGTATCTGTAATCTTGAGGGTACTGACGCTCACTCAACCTCATAGTCAGACTTTATCAACGAGCTATCAGGGTCGCCATTGATCTTGTGTAGGACTGAGATATCTGTACATAGTGCACGCGATTTTGAGTCATTTAGGCTAGTGGCCATATTGCATTTCAAGCGACGGAATTCCATAAAAACTTAGAAGTACTTGATATACATGACATTGGTCACAACTCAGCGAACAATTAATTGAAAATAATGAGTTTATTCACAGGATAGATAAATCGTGCTCACGCCTAGATAAATTGTCAAACAGCCATACTGTTAGCAATTGTTTGTACAATCAACTGTTGATATTCAAAACAGAATTCTGATCAGTGTTTGATGGAACACGCGACAACATGTATACTCTGAACGAATGACCAAAATTCACTGGTGAATATCAGCAACGAGGTGATACATACACCTAAGAATAGAAATAGTAGTATTGCTTATACAAAATGTTGGATGCAGTTTCAGAGTAATTCGACTTTTCTTACATGATTATGAACGATCTTGGAGGCATTAAGTGTTTACGTTATGGAAGCACAACATTATACACCGTGTTTCTTAATTTTGTAATGAAGCTTTCATGGTTTGTACTTAAATGGTCCAACAACCTGAATCAACTTCATACTACTCTTAATTGAAAATTATCACTACGAAATTAGATGTTAGTACTACTATGAAGGTCATTATACTATCGTGATTTGCCACAATGACTTATTTCATTAAAATAGTAAATATTCCTCGTCATTTGAGACGTTTCTCAATGCTTATTAACAAATAGGTTGTGGAAATTAATTTCCCTAAACTGTCGGCCACAGTCTTAGCTTAGCCAAGGTCAGGACAAGTAAGCTAGGACTCTGTGCTCAACAGTCTACGGAATAGTTTAGAATTGTGTCTGTAGAAAATTACTTCCTACACAGATAGCCACCCATACAATATAGTCAATGTCTGTATTTTCATTTTTCGGTTGTTTTTTTGCAAAGAGTACTGCTACTTCATTACTACGACAAATGAACCTAATTCAAGTGAACAAAAAATACGAATACACAGATGAAAATGACTATAATGCACACCTGATAAAAGAATGGGTGAACATCAGTTAACACCAAATATCCCCATTACTGAAACGTGATCTGTTTAAAATATCAATAAGACTTAAAAGTGAGAAAAGTGAAGAGGCCCTACTACATATCAGTAACAAAGTTGTAGTTAACGACAACTGTGAAGAACAACAAATAATGATAATTACCTTAACCAAATGTTGATTAACCCAGTTGGTGAAGGCTTTCTTTTGTATTGCATCACGTTCATCTAATAGAAAAATTTTAAAAACAGAAGGTAAAGACCCATGTATTTTCAAAAAGGCATACACATTTGTTTGTATATAGAACAGTAAATGCAGACAACAGTGGGAAAATAGGAAAATACAAAACTAATTACATTCATACGTTATAGAGGTGGATTTTATTATTTTCTGAACAGAATTTTCGATCATTAAAACGGAAAATGTAACGAAGTAAACTATGGTCGAGTGATGTCCGTTCATGAGACCAGAATACAAAGGTATCCCACTAGGTAATTTGAAATCGAAGACAAGATCATCAGCCAGAAGAATAGATATTCAATGTGATAAAGTGCAAGTTCACATGCAAAGTAGTAACACGAAACAAACATGGTAAAATTCCATAGGCGACTGGAGGAAATCAGTTTGTACGTCTCCCACCTTCCAGTCAATTTGAACTTAATTTTTAGCCCTAATTCTTAGAAATCATATTAGTGTAAGTTCAACACACTACGTCTAACGTCAAGTTCAGTGACACCAACTTTTCATAAAGACTACAATATGCGAAATAAAGCTATTGATAGTGATTTGGTAGTAAGTATATGAATGGTCGAACCATAAAGTTGAGCTTTTACTAACAAAATAACGATATATAGTAATAAGTAGTAATAATCTTGATTTAGACCTTTAACACGATACTTTATTAAACTACAATAATTTCTAAAAATATGCTACAAAAATTACGTACACATGAATACTTGTGCAAGTAAATCAATCCATAAGTAGAATAAGAGTGGAACTTGCGATTCACGTTTGTAAACCAATCAACCACAACTGTACATATAAAACGCAACCTGACAAGTAACCATATAGTTATGTTTAGAATAACCCTCAATTGTTCGTTCGTCCAAATGTGCTGATGTGAACTGTTGCAAATTGCAAAAACATATTTGTATCAAGTCCTATACTGTTTTTACCATTGATTTTCCTAATCACTTAACCTCACTAAATCAACAGTCAATCTTCAAAATCCATCCTGAGTAGTTAGGATCTTAGTACTTAATCTCCATATTCTGCGTAGTGGCCAAAATAGGGAGATCATGATGCACGAAAACGGTTTGGTCTGTATAAATACCAAATGACGGTACCTTGTATGTAAGGAGTGTTCACCGGTAGGTGGTCAAGACGGGTTAAATAATAGTCGTCGCAGATAACTTTGGTGTGAGGCTAGGATGGTAAGGCTGGACAGAAAAACATATTCATGGGTAGAAACATATCTATAACATGGTTGGATGAACATTTTAAAAACACACCTCATGTACTCTATCCCATACAAACACAGATTACAAGTTACCAAGAGATTTCACCTAACGGGGATAGATTGAACACTGTTTCAACAACCTAATGTATCTACTACGGTACCTCCACGTCGCTGATGTTAAAAGCTCTCTGAAGATCAGTATGTAACTATTGTCAAGAGAAATTATAATTGTAATTCCAAATTAAGAAAAAAAGTAAGGAACTCTGAAAAGCAACGACTCGATGAAGACATGAATTTAAACGTATATATACATGTATACAACATATGCATTTGAAGACGACACGATGTTGCCGAATTGTTTGCCGGGACACTTACTCTAGAAATATAATGGTTTCAATGAATGAATCGGATAGTATCAAATGAGCGTATTAAGAGATGAAAAACTAAAGATGTAGCACGACAAAGCCAGAAACAGCACTAAATTTACGTGAGCGATTCGGCCATAAATATGTCTTTTCGTTGTCGTAAATGTATGAGTTGTAGAATTCTCTTCATATTAGATTTGTTATTTGCCGATTTTAAAAGATAGAGGACTTGATTATACTGGGAGATTTGGATGAATTGTAATACGATCAGTTTTTATTTGCTCCTAAAGTTAGCAAACAAGTAGCTATACTACACTGTGCCTGAAGGTTATCTAGCACGTAGCTTTTAATCATGTTAGGGATTACGTTATCCGAGACCAAAAGTCCTCCAAGAACACAAGAGGCGTGTTCCAGGATTGCAGATCGTTTGATTAGCGAGTAGTCGGAATGAATCAAAGCTAACGAATCGTACAAAAGCTCGAAGTCGGTAAGAGCACCACAACACGTACAAGCATTTTAAAGGAGCATAAAGTTAAAAAATGAGACCAAAAGCGCTTTAAAGTGCTTAAAGCGCAAGCATTCGCAAGTATATTAGGTCATACAGTGATTCATTTTTTTTGTAAATGAAGCTTCTGATATTGGAAAGTTGACTTAGTTAATATTCCGACAAAGACGAGATTGTACGCAGCATAGTAAAATTAATCATAATTCAAGTTAATAGCTGGCGTTACCTGCGATTTTTATTACTGCGCGGTCTGCAGGGTCCAATCTTAGTACGCTAAGAGAAAGATGAACTTTATCGAAATTAACACTATTTCGAGAAATGTCGTTTAATAAACTGAGAGTTGGCAGTGATACTGGCGTCACGTTGTTTGTTCTATTTAAATGAATAAGCGGTTGAGAAAAGCAACGCAGATTATCAATCTTGTCTGACATTATTATAAATGCTCATGAGTCTGTGCGAACACGAAGTAGCGCACCTTGTGTATCTGGCGCAGTTGTGAACAAATATTTTTAAAACATCCAAACAAGCAGAAGGCTCAAATGGTTCAAATGATTGTGAGCGGAACGTCATATGCTTCTTTTTGGGTGCCTTCCTCATGTAGTAACAACGGATCGCCTATGCCTTCAAATACCCTTCACTGGAATCATAATTAAATAGAAGTGTCCGTAAATTAATAACAAACGTTAAACCTCAAACTGTGCTTTGAAGAACTAACAGATTACTTTTTCTGTGAGATCTGTGTATGCGTGGTAGGTAAGGTAAAGTTCTTGGTGTGTTCCCTTTGAAACTGAAGGGCGAAAGCATTAGTTTTCAATATACATTTAAATCGGTTTATTGATTTTAATTCTGCACATCCATTCACTGAACATTTTTCCTAAGGCCCGAATCACTTTAGAAGAACAACCAGGACCACTACTTCAGAAGACAAATTTGAAAAGAAAACATAATAAATGTCCTACAATTTAATGATTTTCCTATAAATATTGTTCGAAACATATTAAAACGAAACTGTGCGCCCGTAAAAAGAAAATCCTAATGAAATTTCTTGGGTTAGCCCTGTTGTTTTACTCCACCGACAAGACACGACGGAAGAATGACAACGGATATTGAAATCGCACAAAATTACAGCTTTCTATAAGACAACTAGCACTCTAAGAAACGCCTTAGAATTAAAGATACGATCCCACTTACACCTATACAAATTTGTGTCAACGGATCAGATTATGTCAATCGGGATGCGTCCTATATTCGAGATTCTTCCCGTGAGATCTCAACTCGTGCTAAGGAACACTAACATCACACAAAATGGCCTTCTAATAATTTTGTAGGATTGGAAATTTTACAGATTGAATCAGCAATAGCAAGATATGCTATTTTCAATAATCATCACACGGATATCAAAATAGTTTAGAAAGGTTTTACCAACTATAAAGAAACGCGGGTAGCTGAAGCGTTCCTTATTATGTTGAATCCCTCTTCCCTAAATTGGAAAGAAAACCTGGATATTTATCCAACTTGGACCATTTATCCAAACAACCATATATGTTCCTATTTATTTTCCACACACGTGCACACCCAATTTCATCTCCACCGCTTGATGTTACAAATACATATATTTTTTATACCCATAGTTTGATACACAAATCAATACAATAACAGGACACACAAATTCAACTTGACCAAGAATAACTGGGTATTGACACTGTCATATTCAAATCTATCATCATTTTGTTTCTACCGAAAACATTCTTCACTATTTTCTTTATGCTATCTAGATTTGGGTTAATTTGATTCGATTATTCATTTACTCTGAAGAAGTGGCTTGCATTAAATCACGAAACGCCAAAAATACAATTTTTCTCTTCTTTGGGATATAACAAAAATATATTTCTTACTGGAGCTAATCGTTGAGTACACTTGAATTAATCATTATTACTTATTACAGAGCTTAGATCGAAATCAGAACTTCTTGAAAAATCTGTCAAAGTACCGTCACTATCTATCTACTTTAGGTTTCCATAGATTACTGACCTTAATCATGAAAAATTTTGCACGGACCTTTGTTCTCACCCATCTTTTTGTTTTAAATTGATGTCGTGTTCGGTGTAATTTATTAATGAATTAGATGAGACGTCTGTAAGATTGGGCGAGGTTATAAGAGACATGATAATTTGTAAATGTGATCCTGTTGACATTTTTCTGAAAGTACTTTTAGATAGTCACGGCTTCAGACTATCAAATATTCTGGGAAGTAGCCCAAGACAAGTTATGCTTTGTTGGGTGCATACTGTCGATGGGTTACGACACGTAAAAAAAACTCACACAGCGAACCCCAGTTTCTTTTCTGTGTACACGTGAATCCACATTAGATCTTAGGTAGTTACATTATGAAAATCTACAATTTTGGGACTAGGTTGTACTACGCCAAGCCCACATAGGTTATTCTGGTTTTTGGACAGATAGATTTATTCATCCCTCTCAAGCCACATTTCTACCTTGTCAACTGTCCACATATTAACCGTGATCGTATGTGTGTCAACTGCTTACCCTATTCATAACATGTCTGTAATTTATCTTTGTCTGAATATAAATATTGAGCCACTCTTAATCAAAACATGTTGGCTCGCTCGCCTTCTCTGTTGCACCTAGCTTCATTTCGTTTCTCTTCCTTCACTCGCCTCAGGTATAACTATGGGTTACTTGACCATGTGAGTGGAGTGAGGGCCGGAAAACAAGTGTCATAGAAACAATAACCTAAGTAGAAGAGTATTGAAACAAGGTTCATTTGTATCCCATCCTATAAATGAAAGTCGTTAGGATGTCGTATCACAATCAGTTACAATGCTTACTAGAAGTAAAAAAACCGTTACCAATATACGAAAATCCCGTTCGATCATACTGCTGCGATTATAAAGATGTTGTAGATACATATTTGTTACAAATATTATTTTAATTATACATGTTGACTACTAACTGGAAATTAAAATCGTCACAAATTGAGATGTAATAAATGACGAAATCATTACTACTGGTTATTTTTGAAATACAGGTGACATCATTCATCGGTGCTACATGCGATTTAAGGAAGTGTCGGGTTAAATGAAAGAAGTTCAAAACGAATAAATAATATATTTGTGATACCCCAATTAGTAGAAAAACTAGATTTCCTGACGTTTCATGTCTCAGTATAAGCCTTACCATACATCCTAATTAGACAGTCTATCCTAGTCACCTAGTCGGATATTATCCATAACTCACACTGTCATCTTGCAAAATAAACTCTATCCTTCCCCACTATAAATGCTGCACATTTTTCATCCTTAGCAGTGCACACATACATATGCACAATTTACATACATTCGCTTACGAATCGCCTAGAGTGAAATGACATGACATTGATTTGTTCAGACCTGTTTTTTGATTGATCACACAATATTCTTGTTGTTCCGTTGTACTATTCAAACTTGGACTGATTTTGATTTGGATATTTATTCTCTGAAGAAGTGGCTTACACTGAGTCACGAATTAGGAAATTGATAGAAGGGCGTGGGTAATAAATAAAACTCATTGTCAGGGTCAGTACATTCAGATCAAAGATGGCCGAGTTGTATGGCATTTTCAAATTATATTTTTAGTGACATCACGTGTCCCGATAAAGGATTCTAGTAATTCACTTTTTGACTCACGAAACGGAACATTGAACGGAAACTATTTGATCTCAGTTTTAAGGCTTTATCAGAATGTTCTCTTAGATGATCAGTCCTAGTTGGAAGCAAGGGATGAGTCACATTTGTACCAAAATAGTCGCTGACTATAGAGTAGGCCATTATTAGATAATCCTGTCAAGCACGAAAGCCCCTTCTTAAAACTTGCTAAAGATACTTCATTTTCATATAGTCTGGAAATTGTTATCAGAATAGTCTTTTACACTAGACTGACAACTAAGCAGGTTAGACCAACGGGTTGATAGCTACTAAGTCTCCAATACCAGGTTTCAAATCGAACTGATAACTGTGTTGTTCTAGCCTCTTAGCAGTTTACACTGCCTCGGAGACTTGTCAAACAGGTTTGCCTGTTATGATCTTGGGTGTCTGGTTTTTCTATCACACGATTTATCTACCAATCCGGATACGACTTATACGAATCTTTACACTAGGCCAACCAATGACGTTCAACCGGTGTGGGCAGTTTAGTGTCCTTATTGGTCCTATGTCCTACGAGCCCTTCCACTTGAGTCCAGAACAAGATACCAGCTTCCGAATCAGAGCAGATCGTTTATTTCAGGCATACTTGGTTTATATATCAATCACACAGACCGCAACGTACCATAAAATAGGAAATAATATTTGTACACAAATAAGCCCAAAAAGTGGCTGTGAGTGTGGGAGGCAGTAGTTAATAAACTGAACATAACTGAAGAACCGTAAATCGTACAATAATAAATTATAGGCCAAAATAAAGCTTGTCATAAGAGGGATATAAATATACATAGTGTAATTGTTGAGTAGTTATACAATAAGAATATTAGTCCATGAATAGTCCTCGGAAGTTACCTGTAATTTAATCTCCACTCGGATATAACATTGCCAAAAGTTCAGCCTTCATAATTCTAGAATGAACATTCCCAAAACCGCTGGGCTCACTGGGTTCGTGATGCTGAAGCAATCATGGGACATATACTTTCTTAATAAATAACATACCGCTACTATCACAACTTACTATTGGTCTTTCATCGTCGTCGGCGGCATAATTTCTTGTCGATATCGACAAAGTTCCTCGTACCAAAGGTGGTGGAATCCCATCACCTCTTTATATATGAGAGCAACTCTTTCAAACTATTTTCACAGTCCCTAACCAACAGTTTTTCATGTGAATGTTTAGCCTTACGAAAATTTAGCATGCAGCCCTAATCTTACAATAATAATATCCGCACTGTTCGGAGCCTGCAGAGATATACATTCTAATGTTTGTTACTACGTCTATGAAGTTTCTTGACATCCCTAGTTATTCTTTGTGGATCATGTCATTGTATTTACTGATATTAATTTATTTTTTGAACCTATTACGACCTTCAACGAGACCAGTATAGCGAAAGCCTTTTAATAGAGTATTACTCAACAAATGCACTAGGAAAGGAAAATAATGTACTCGGAATAATTTCAAGTGATTTTTTAGGTTTTCAGACGTAAATAGACTACTCAGTTATGTAAACACTACGAACTTATGCAAGCTGACATACGATTATCCAACCCCGATCACTTCATATAAAAAATGCTTTTCTTTAACAAAGCCAGTCAAAGTTGTAAGGGCAGATTTCACATGGGCCATCCCATACGTTTGACTTCCCTCATCTAGTCCTATTCGATTTACGTGGGAACATTGCAGGAATCCTTAGTTGACATAATTGCTAGATTATTATCGAACATCAGATTGTCGGCTAACAAAACTACTTGATTTCCATTTACCGTTGTGATAATGTGAAGTTTGTAGGAGTTATCAAAGTTTATTGTCTAAAACAACCCAATAAGCAACTATCAATAATTCACTAGTCATATCCAGAGTAAAAGTAAGGTGTCATGTTTGAAGCATCCACGTTCCTAACAAAAATAAAACAGTGTAGTTACCTATCCGAAACTACTGGACCAGAACTAGTGGGCGAATAATGACATAAGAATATATTTATTCAACGACTTCAGTAAGTTCATTCACTGGTACAACAGTATTGGAAAATTGTCGGTTACAACTGTGCAGATAAAAATAAGAAAAACATACTTTTGTCAAATATACCCTTTAACTCTTCACTCTAACTATAAGCTGTAAACCTCAGAAGGTACGAACTGCAGAACCACAGTATGGTGATGTTGGTTCCAAAGGTGGAACTTTAGTTTGTTTAAATATGGTCTATTTCGGCATTAATACACTTATCTCCGCTACCATAATAAAAAAATTAATCACAAAATTGTAGATTTGTCATGATGTGACAGCCTAATAATAATAAGAAGAAGAAGAACAAGAATAAGAATAAGAATAAGAATAGGAATAAGAATATATTTCTGCATGTGCAGGTACACACCGTTTTTACAGGCATGATCTATTAATTACAACATTTGTTGGTTCGCAAAATGCTTCCCAACTTATTAAGTTTATAGTTGTTATAAAGTGAAATCGTAGAGCGCTTGCTGTAAACTATGACCTTGAGAGGACGCGTACGTCAAGTTTGCTCCAAACGTCAGAAGTTTCATAGCTGTGCTCTCAGAGCAAGATTCTGAAGGAGAAAAAAAAGAGAAACAGAAGAGCAGCAAGGCACTTGGATATGAACGCCAAAGGTTGCTTAACATTGTGTAGTAGAACGGACAGAGGTATAATAAATTAGAATAAATTCATATAATGTCTTGTTAGAGTGAAGTGAAGTCAGAGGCTCCATATTAGAGAATGTACTAATAAAGAACAACGAGTTGTGATGTTTAACAAGTTGGAGTAAGCTCACATGAAGGAAGGGAAGTCAAGGTTGGTACAAGGAAAGCGGTTTATTAGAAGGGTGTGTATATAGAGGGTGAAGTGTTAAGAATACTAGTGACTATATCTTTTATTGTCTTTTTTCTTTTCTTTTTTTGTCCATCCGATGTCAGCCACGCAATCCTAGTGTAAAAGTCCGAGTTAGCATGTTATAGGTTGTCTTAGTAGAATAGCTAATCCAGCATATTATTGGAAACATGAGTCTGAGTGGTGAGCGTAGGAAGACAATCTATATCTTAGATTGACTGTCTTATTCTCAATTATAAAGAGCCTGATACATACAAAATGTTCTGTCCCCACAAACACGGGTGGATTGAAGTTATCGCCCTCACCATCAATGCTTGCTGGTCAGTAACTCCACCCTCCCTCCTTTTGTGATGTTAGGCTCATTTAGGCTTATTTTTGTATATACGTCATACCTCACACAATCCTCTGTTTCACAACTTGTTGGAAAGCACTATTTCTATAAGTACCATTTTACAAGCTTATCAGGCAGTTACAAGCTATGGACTGTGGGTAAAGCATCGATGCAGTGCCTCTGTTGACTATAGTATAAAGTATAGTTTGCCAAACAGAGTATAAGCGTTAAGAAGGGTATATTGTAGGATAGTTGTTTATTTAAGCAGGCGGAAAAAGTATAGAAGTATATGAGTTGTGGATAAGGGAACGAGTGGAGAAATAATATTAATTGCTAGTCAACATAGTGTACAGAAGAGTAAAAAGTTAATACAGGATAAACAGGAAGGAACTCACAGTAACTTGGTGCTGATGTTATTTTCTGTTGTCTTAACCAGTTGATTGGTAACAGGTTCCATAGATGCAAGACCACTGGTAGTAGGCAGCCGATTGTGCGGTCCTCTTGACTTTTTAGGGTGGTAGTGAGTGTCCCTTATCGACCGAGTTTAGTTTAACAGTAATGATAGGTCCAGTGAGTTACCTGTCTACTTCAAGTGAAGAAATGGGGTGGAAAAAGTAATTAATACAACTGCAAAGTAGGAAAAATAAGGCAAACTGAACTTGAAGTCCATTTTGGTCTAGACATGGAGAGAGCCTATGATGTCTGAGTGGGGTGCAGATGTGTTCGTACGTGCAAGATCAGTGCGAGTGAGGGCTTGATCAAGCAGTTTGACAAACGTATGTAGTTCATCTGCCATGCGAGTCTAGGAGGGAAGACTGTTCCATATTATTGCATCTATAAGACCTTACATGGAAATCACATCATCGTCCATGCTGATTCGTCCTGTCGTAACAATCAGCAATATAACGTCTAAAGCTTCTTGGAAACACATTTTGGGCAGAATAGAGAGCATCGCATTCAGTACAAGAACAAAAAGTTGTGTAGATTGACCAGATTTGCATAGCCGAACCGTATTGTCCTTGAATGATTGTCTCCGCATTCATCATTACCGACTTCTCTCAAGTCTAACATGTTGAATGTCAATCTTCTGGATAATTGTATGTCCAGCCTCGAGAATCGTGTAGTTGAGAGCCATTATCTCTACAAGCTCGACCAAACTCGGTCAATGGCATCAATATCTTAGCTCAAATGTTCTCAAACTACTTTAGCAGTGTATACACCGTAGATGCACCCTTGCCGTCAACGCATACAAATCCCCACACACATACACTGGATAGCGTGACCAATAAAGAACTCGGTGTCTTTGGTCTACTAAATAAGCTTGACATAAGTAAATCCACGAGGCCCGATGAATTACATCCTAGGCTTATGAAGGAATTATCTAACTTCTTTGCGAACCCTTTAAATATATGCTTTAATCTATCCGTTACGCATGGTCGATTACCAGAAGACTGGAAGAACGCCATAGTAAGTCCTGTTTTCAAAACAGGTACGGAACATAAACCTGAGAATTACCGACCCGTTAGCCTATCTAGTGTAGTTGTTTAAACCTTAGAAAATATTATTCGGAAGGATCTATTCAAGTATTTCGATGAAAAACGTTTTTTTTTTCGGAGAATCGACAGGGTTTCAGATTAAGTTATTCTTGTCTCACTAGCTTATTTGTCGCTCGTGAAAGCTGGTGCACTATTAAGGATAAAAAGTTACCTGAAAACGTAGCCTCAATGGATTTCATCAAGGCTTTTGACAAAGTTCCGCACAACCGGCTAAGAAATGTTGGAATTGAAGGCAATCTATTGATGTGGATAAAATACTTCCTAGTTAGGCGCCAACGAAGAGTAAGGGTGAACTCAAAGTTATCTAGCTGGGAAACTGTGCTTAGTGGAGTGCCTCAGGGTACAGGTTTGGGGACAGTGCTATTCCTCTTGTATGTAAATGACCTTCCTTGCCTCCTATCATCATCGGTCTTGCTATATGCTGACGATGTCAAGATATGGAGAACGATACGATGTAAGAGTGATAGCTTAGAACTTCAAAATGACCTGAAGAAGTTATCTGAATGGTCTCAAACCTGGCAGTTGCCGATAAATACTTCCAAGTGTGTAGCGATGCATATCGGTCATCAAGGCACAGATACATACACGATGAATAACACTGAGCTACCCGTCGTCCAGACATATAATGACTTAGGAGTCATCGTTAGCCAAGACCTAAAAACTACTACACACTGCCGTGCGATAGCCACCAAAAGTTTAAGAACCTAATCGTCAATATGAGGGCTTTTAGTCATGTCGACGCTGAAACGTATTGGACTTTGTACACAGTGTTCGTACGTCCTAAACTTGAGTACTGCATACAAGTGGCTAGCCATTGCCTAAAAAAGGCAGTGGACTTTTGGAAAAGGTCCAGAGAACAGCAAACTAAGCTGATTCCAGGAATAGCAAAGCTTCCGTATGATGCTTAACTGGCCAAGCTCAACCTACTTCCGTTGTCATATCGTAGAACTAGAGGCGACTTTGTTATGACTGGCTTTTCTATCACGCGACTTATCGACCAGTCAGAATACGACTTATACAATTTCACACTATGCCAAACCAATGACGTTCAACCGGTATGAGCAGTTTAGCATCCTGATTGGTCCTATGTCCACCTAGCCCTTCCACTTGAGTCCAGAACACAATACCAGCTTCGGTAATATGAATCGAATCAAATCGTTTATTTCAGACATACTCTGTTTATATACTAATCAGACAAACCACAACGTACCATAAAATGGAAAACAACATTTGTACAATATTTGACAAGTGAAATAAATATTGGCCAATAAGAAATGTCCATTAAAAGCCCAAGGACACTATTAGACTTAACATGATAATTATTGGATAATTATACAATGAGAATGTTTATAGAATATTAGTCTATTAACATTCCTCGGAAGTCACCTGTAACTTAATCTTCACTGGGTTATAACACCTCCTATTTTTTTGAAGATTCCAAGTTTAGATTCTGATTTTAAAAAAGTTATGTGTAGCTTTAAATTCTCCAACATTCTCCTCCTCCGCGGAATAATGTTAGGTCCTTATGTCTCCAAATTACAACTAATAGGACTTTGTTTAAACCATGTTTCTGGTATTGAATGGAGAATCCACTAAAAATGACTAGATGATAATGAACGACCTTTGATTTGAGGTCAGAATTTGGGTCTTCTGAAGCATTATTTTCAAATTCATTATGAATCTCATTAGCAGATAATGAGTCATTAAGAAAGTCAACGTCTAAAAAAATTAAATCAGATTTTGGCCATCATTTGACTCAGTCGACATATTTCCCTCATTGTTATAGGAAGTTTCATCAAAATTAGATGCGTTATTCTGAGAACCAATATCTGGCATACTGTCATTAGAAATGGGATAAGTTGACTCAATATAAAATTCTGTCTTCCGGTGATTTTGAGTAATATCTGGTACAATTGGGTTCATCGTGTTGCTCCAGTTATTTTCTGAATACGAGTCACCATAGCTTTCTCGACTAATAGTACGTGGACCACAATTTTGTTCGAGCTGACGTTTATTTTCGCAGCTAGACAGGACCAGTAGGGTTTCATTTAATTCTGGACTCTGGGCATCATCTACAGGATCTGGCTCCTGATCATCTGGTATTGTCACAACTTCATGTGCATTTAGCACAATATTTTCTTGCTCTGAGCTGGACACGTTACCAATATTACGTTTTCCTTCTGGTATAGAAGGATTTGAATCCTCCACAGGATATGCTTCTGAAATGTCCATTACTGCACCATTATCTGCATCATAAATAGTTTTCTTATTTTCTGGCTGAGTGAAAAGTCTTCCCAAAACTGTTACAAATAGTTGTTGTTGCAAGGCTAACATCTACTGGTTTAGTTGTTGTTGAAAGGCTAACATCTGCTGGTGCTGTTGCTGTAATATTAACTGCAACTGTTCTAAAGAAATTGACATATTTTTTTACTGCCAAATATAGTATTAACTCCAAAAAATCACCGGCAATTATAACAGCTAATTTATTTCCAAAATCTGAGTCACCACTTGTTGTATTAGTTTTTTGCCAAAACCCCCGTCGGAAGTCACCTGTAACTTAATCTTCACTGGGTTATAACAGACTTGATTACAGTTTTCAAATTGCTTAGTGATAAATTCGCACCCGATGTGCCCTCATTTTTTGTCTTCCAAAACAGAGAAATTACGAGGACACTCCAGAAAAGTTCACAAGCCCAGAACGAGTTACTTGTCAGCTGACTATCGACTTTCCCATCGAATCATCGACGAATGAAATTCACTACCTCAGTGAGTGTTTGAGGCTCCATCCGTCGACTCTTTCAAAAGAAAGTTGGATCAACTGAGAGACCACCAGTGCCAGGATTAACACGGGCCATCAAGCCTCCTGTCCTTTCCAAACTGAAACTGATTTACTAAGGCTGCTTCTCTTGATTTCGTCCGCGAAATTGTTTTTGGTGACTTCAACCTTCCCACCATTAACTGGAAGATACATTCTAGCCGATTGTGCTTTGAAAGCATACTTAGGTCCTTAGACATACACGGTTGGCAACAACATGTACACATGCCTACATGAAATCACAACGCTGACTGGGAAAACTTACGAATTTTAATAAAGCATTCTGACTGGAGCAGCTTCATTACCAGTGATAACCTCTTAGGAACATTAGGAGTATTCAATACTGCCACCAAATCTGCACTGGACACTACCATCCCCACTGAATTGCTTTAAAAACAATTACTCTCTTTATCGGCCAAAAGAATAGGTCTAAGCTGCAAAACTAAAAGGGATGTACGATATCAAAAGACTTCAGTGCTATGCACCAAATATGTTCTGTAATTATTGGATTACAAAGTCAACGCAACAATCATCTAAAATGCGGAAATTGCTAGGCTTCATTCTCCGTAATTTCTATCGAAATGAATCTAAAATCCTTCTTTATGAAGTTTGTGTAAGACCTATCGCTGGATACTGCCCGTTCTTATTTTCCGACTTACGCCTATCTGAAATACTAAAGGTGGAAGGAATACAACGAGACTTCACCCGCAAATTACTTAAGACTGACTCAGTCATTGACTACAGTTTCCGATGCCAAATCTTAGGAATAGAACCCCTTTGGGAGAGAAGGCTCAGGTCTAATTTAATCCTCTGCTTCAAACTACTCAAAAACCTTAATTATTCAACATGTAAGACAATTCTTGCCCGATATTAACATGAATACGAACTTCGAAACAAAGTATCTACCGTCAAAGGTGAGAAATACAGATCGAAAACTCGGGAAAACTTCTTCCTCATCAAGTATGCAATAATATGGAACAGTCCTCTCTCCGAAACTCGCATGGCAGATGAATTACATACGTTTGTAAAATCGCTTGATCAAGCCTTCACTTGCACTGATCTAGCACGTACAAACACATCTGCACCCCACTCAGACATCATAGGCTCTCTTCATGTCTAGACCAAAATGGACTCAAGCTCAGTTTGCCTAATTTTCCTACTTTGCAGTTGTATTAGTTACTTTTCCCACACTATTTCTCCACTTGAAGTAGACAGGTAACTCACTGGACCTATCGATACTGTTGGACAAAACTCGGTCGCTAAGGAACAATCACTACCACACTAAAAAGTCAAAAGAACCACACAAACGACTGCCTACTACCAGTGGTCTTGCATCTGTGGAGCCTGTTACCCATCTACTGGTTAGGGCAACACAAAATAGCATCAGCATAAAGTAAGTGTTTTTTCCTTTTTATTGTTTATTAGCTTTTTACTCTTCTGTACACTATGTTGACTAGCATTTAATATTATTTCTCCGCTCGTTAACTTATCTACAACTCATATACTTCTATACTTTTTTCGCCTGCTTAAATAAACAACTATCCTACAATATACCCTTCTTAATGCTTATACTCTGATTGGCAAACTATACTTTATACTTCAGTCAATTAAGGCACTGCATCAATGCCCCACCCACAGTCCAAAGCTTGTAACTACCTGACAAGCTTGTAAAATGGTACATAGAGAAATAGTGTTTTTCAGCAGGTTGTGAAGCATAGATCATCGTGTGGGGTATAATATTTGTTCAAAAATGACATTACAAAATGAGGGAGGGCGGGGTTACTGACCAGGAAGCACTGATGGTGAGGGTGCTGACTTCAATCCATCCGTGTTTGTGGGGAAGAACATTTTGTGTGTATCAGGCTCTTTATGATTGAGAATAAGCCAATCAATCTGTGATATTGAGGTTGTTCTCTACGCTCATCATTCAAACCCATGTTTTTAATTTTATGGTGGATTAGCTATTTTATTAAGACAATCTGTAACATGCTAACTCGGACTTTTACACTAGAGCTGTGTAGATGACACCAGATGAAAAAAATAAACGAATCAGACAATAAAAGGCATAGTTATTAGTTTTCTTAACACTTTACTCTCTTAATGCACTTTCCGTTTTGACAAACGGCCATCCTTATTATAACTTCGACTTCCTTCCAATCATTTTACCCTACTACACCTTGTTAATTATGACAATTCATTGTTCCTTATTACTGCATTCTCTCATTTGAGGTCTCTGATCACATTTCACTCTAACAACAAGAGCTATTATGGATTTAATTTAATAATTTAACATACCTCTGTCTGTTTCACTACAAAATGTTAAGTATTGTTTATTGTTCATATCCAAGTGCCTTGCTGCCCCTCTGTTTTTCTTTTCTCATAAACTTGCTCTGAGAATACAGCTATGAAACGTCTGACGACTGGAACAAGCTTAAAGCACGCGTTTTCGCAAGGTCATTGTTTACACCAAGTGCTCTACGAGTCTACTTTATAACAACCGAACGCTTGAGAAGTTGTATTGCATAAATACTTAGCACGACCAGAATTCTAACACAATTATGGCGATATTGGATCTGGTGTGCAACATGGACGCGATGCTACATTGGAAAATATCTTAAAGACTGTATTCAGTGTGATACCAAAGTATAAACCCGATCATTAAGGCTCCGAGTTATCTGCACGGTTTTTCTGTTTTTCCCTACTTGGGAAGTATACTGTGAGCCAACAAATGTTGTAATTTGTAGATCATACCTGTAAAAACTTCATTTACCTGCCCCTGCAGAAATATATTACATCATTATAACGGTAAGTTTGTACAATTTTGGTCTACTTCGTTACTAGCACTATTATAATAATATACCCAATCCTAAAATTGCAGATATATCATAATGTGAAAACTTAATCAACAAGATCGGACGTGGAAGTCACATCATTGTGTATTCTGACTCGTCGTATCGTCCGCGATATAAGGTTTGGCGTTTGTAAAGAACACATCTAAGCTAAAGATGGAATAATATATTTAGTGCGAGCAAAGACAAGTTATACAGAATGACCACGTCTGCCATCTGAGTGAATTTAATTGAATATTCCCGACTTCACCTCTATGTTAAATGTAGAACATCTATTTTCCCAGTTATCTCATGTTAAGCTTTGAGGCTTGTATGGTCATTGTTATTATTAATATTATTGTTATTATTATTATTCACAATCATCTCATGGGTACATAAGAATTGTGAAGAAACCGCCTCGGGTTTCTTCAAAAATGCAATAACACACATGTCTCAATAATTTTAGCATCATATTTG